TGAACAGTTGTTGCTGCTGTGAATGTTTCTGGAGTTCTGGTTGTTGCTGAAGCAATTGTGGCCGCTGAGGATGTTTCTGATGTAGTAGTTGTTACCTGAACAGTTGTTGCTGCTGTTGATGATGTTTCGGATGAGGAAGGCGCTTTGTGAACAGTTGTTGCTGCTGTGGATGTTTCTGGTGTTCCTCTTGTTTCTGGAACAGTTGTAGCTGTTGAGGATGTTTCGGATGAGGAAGGTTTTTCTGCAACACTTGTGGCTGCTTTGGATGTGACTGGTGGTGTAGTTGTTTTGTGAACAGTTGTGGCTGCTGTTGAGGATGTTTCGGATGAAGAAGGCGTTTCATGAACAGTTGTTGCTGCAGTCGCTATTGAGGAAGTTTCCGGTGTTGGGGATGTTTCCGGTGTTATAGTTGTTTCCTCAACAATTGTAGCTGTTGTGGTTGTTTCAGGAGTTCTAGTTGTTTCTGGAACAATTGTTGCTGCTGAGGATGTTTCACGTGTTGTTGATGTTTCTGGAACAGTTGTGGCTGCTGATGATGTTTCTGGTGTTGTAGTTGTTTCATGAACAGTTGTGGCTGCAATGGATGTGACTGGTGTTGTAGTTGTTTCTGGAACAGGTGTGGCTGTTGAGGATGTTTCGGATAGGGTAGGTGTCTCTGGAACAGTTGTGGCTATTGTGGTTGTTTCTGGTGTTGAGGTTGTTTCTGGAACAGTTGTGGCTGCTATGGACGTTTCTGGGGTTGTTGATGTTTCTGAAACAGTTGTGGCTGCTGTAGATCTTTCGAGTGTTGTAGTTGTTTCTGGAATAGGTGTGGGTGCTGAGGATGTTTCTGGTCTTGAAGCTGTTTCCTGAAAGGTTGTAGCTGCTGTGTCTGTTGAGGATGTGTCGGATGAGGTAGTTGTTTCTGGAACACTTGTGACGGCTGTTGTTGTTTCGTGCGCTGTAGTTGTTTCCTGAACAGTTGTGGCTGCTGTTGATGTTTCGGATGAGAATTTTTTTTCTTGAACAGTTGTGGCTGCTATGGATATGACTAGAGTTGTAATTGTTTCTGGAACAGTTGTGGCTGCTGTGGTTGTTTCTTGTATTGTAGTTGTTTCTGTAACATCTGTCGCTATTGAGGATGTTTTGGGGGTTGAAGTTGTTTCTGGAACAGTTGTGGCTGCTATGGACGTCTCTGGTGTTGTAGTTGTTTCTGGAACAGATGTGGCTGTTGAAAATGATTCAAGTGTTGCAGTTGTTTCTGGTTCCGTTGTGGCTGTTGAGGATGTCTCTGGT